GTCTTTAATAATTATCGGAGAGTACACGTGCAAACAACTATTAACTACTTCAACGAGACCGGTGACTTCGTTCATGATGCTGCAGTTACTTGGACAGAGAAAATTTACGCTGGAGGATTTAGCGCATGCGTATTGAAGGCTGGTCGCTTAGAGCGCCAGACCCCAGACAATGGACTGACGTTTGTTGATTTCGTCGCTTACCAAGGTGCTCCTGAAGGAGCGGTTGCTGGGGAGGAGAGCCTCGTTTCCTGGTGGGATGGAACACATTGCAGAAGCGTCGATATTCCTGAGGTACAGTAACAGAACTGTACCAGCATAAGTCATCACCCCAGTGCCCGGTTGTTCGAAGGCCGATTAGCGCTAACCCGGGATTAAATTCTAATCCGCATTTCTTTTCCTTTTGTTCAAAAGTATTTCTAGGATTTTTTCCTCTAATCTCTTAAGAGCATCCAATTATTAAATTTTAGACAAAATGAATTAAACTGAATTTGCGTTTAAGCTTTCATATCTAACTTCAATTTTCGCACTAACTCTGGGTTATTTTAGACCAGCTTTGAACATCCCGGCCCTGGGGTTCATTTTCCAACGCGCTATACTTTCATTCTAAATTTAGTCAAGCGATTTGTATTGACAATTAATATGGTGAAGTCGCCGGTATTAACTCATATTTCAAAAAAGCAGAGTTTTGATAATAAATTATATGTGCATAGTTTATTTCTATTTTTGGTGACCTTTCTAGTTTGCCTATCGAACATCACTTCAAAGAGCTGGAAAATTTTATGTCTCCGCGGTAAAGATCAGTGCCGTAAACTAAAATCTCTTTAAAAAAAATAAAATACAATAAATAAATGAATATATAAAAAAATAAGTAAATAAAAGAGAGGACTGATTGAATTCCCGATCATTTAAACAAAAAAGTATAGACTAGGAGTTCGAAATCTGCGGAACTGATTATTTCCATTTTCTAAACTGGTGTTGCGTTCAAATTGCATTTTAGGGAAAGTTCTCAGAGCCACCATACATACTAGTAACTGCTGAACACATGTGCACGGGCCTTAAACATGACGCTGCAACTGTGTGGGTGGAAGATGCCTCAACGAAATCTTTTAGAATCTGCCTTCGAGAATTACAGGACTTTGATGGACTGCATGAGAATATAAGAGTGGTGAATAATTTTACTAGCCAGAATAACACTGGCGTCACTGCCATTTTCGTTGTTGAAGTCAGCCTTATGACGGGGAGAAAGGCGGGAGGGGGGGGGGGGGTTGGGGGGGGGGGGGGTGCAGAGAAACAGGGAGGGAATAGCACAGGGTGCAGATTTAGGGAAAAAGCCTCTTTACGCTCCCACTTGTTTTTGTTTGAGGCGGGACTGAAAAAAATTGTCCTTCAACCCCCCTCCGCGTGATTTGTGCCGGT